TTTTTTTTTTTTTTTTGTTTGCGCTCTTGGCGCACTGCCCACAGCGCGGGTTCAGCAGATACACACACACACACAGATACACACACACAAACACACACATGCACAGACACACGCACACACACACGCACACACAAATACACTCACACACACAGACACATACACAGAGTCATGCTTTTTTTGTGGAGTTGTGTAAAGCGAACATGGGAACGCACACACACACCTGTGTGAAGCGAACATTGTTGTTTGGATACTTCGCAAGTTTGCAGTTTGGTAATCACTCTTAAGATGAGAAATTGGGTTTTACTTGGGTATGAAGCTGGTCTCAACCCCTCCCTGGCTTGATCTTTTCAAGCCGGTTTTCTTTTCTTTTTTTGCCCTTTAAATTTGCCTCTTTCCCTTCATCATGAATTTTGGAATCGACAATGTCGCCCTGTTACTTTTCCTTAACTTTGTTTTCAATGATCTTCCCCCCCACCAAGGCTTGAAGACAACTCCCGCGGCTAAACAAGATTTCCAACCGCCAAGGGCAACACCTTCGCATGCGGATTTTGACGTTTCCTTGTATTCATCGGGCAAGTTGAAGTCTTTGCCAGCATCAAATCCGAACGATTCAAATGGCACTGTTAGAATTGGGAGTACATTTCAGATGACTCCACTCAAGAATAACCCTTTCAAGAAAGCAGAGGACTGGACGGTACGAGTGTCAATCTTGTTCATTCCTGTTTTTTATTTTCTTTTTTCTTTTTTTCTTTTTTTCCAAAGTCGAACAGTGCCTCATGGACCAACGGGCCTCATAATAATTTTATTTTGGTCCTGTCTCCGGTGTACCAGAACAAACATGTACGGGGGCCTCATGTACCTGCGTACGTGTTTGAATGTGTGTACGCCCTTTTACGGCCGTGTATGTGGGCGTGTATGGCATGTACGCAGTGCGTACAGGGTTAAAAAAAAAAAAAAAAAAAGTTCTGTTATGCAGCATTGCAAGATAAGCAGCTTTTGGCCTGGAGTCATCGCAAAATCTGTAACCAAATTTGAGTTCAAAAAAAAAAAAAAGTTCCGCCGTATGCGAACACAGTGCTACATCGTCTGGGTCCTTTTCTGTTATCAGGAGGGTATGTTTGTTCATGGTCTGGTAGGGGAAATTGAAAATCCGCTTATCTTCATACCGTGGTCAGGCCAACAACATTCATACATCAAGGTTGTTAAGCTATTATTAGTAATTTATTACAATATTTCACTACAAAATATAAAAGATCATGACACCCACCTATGTTTCCACGAAAGAACTTCAACCAAGTTTGATGGTTCTACCTTATTAAGATATTAATATATTATACTACAAATATCTTTGCAATAACCAACATATCCAAAACAATGATCTACAATAATTTTATATATCGTTCACTGTGGAACGGACTCGCATGTCGTCAACAGGCGTCGTTTCTGCAAGTTGAGATGTGGCATGTGCCGATGACTTCTGCTCTCTCTCTCTCTCTCTCTCTCTCTCTCTCTCTCTCTCTCTCTCTCTCTCTCTCTCTCTCTCTCTGTGGGGTGTGTGTCTCTGTGTGTGTGTTTCTTCATTCGCCAGCTTCGCAAGTGCTTTGTTCTCTCCCTCTCTCTCTCTCTCTCTCTCTCTCTCTCTCTCA